GTGGGGGGGGGGGGGGCATCTTCCGTCTTGTCGAAGCTCCAAAGTTCATGGTTGAAATCCGTGCTTTCGTGTAAAAAGTTGTTTTTCTCTGCAAAAAGAAGCTTAGAACTTGTTTAGTGATTTATTTTTATTTTTATTAAAAGCTTTGTGTGAAAAATGCTATGCTAAAGCTCAAACCACATCGAGCGTCCACCATTTTCAGAACCGAATAAAAGAAGGAGAGACAGCCCATGTCACGTCAAGGGGCCTCCCTCCCATTTTTATTAGAGACATGCTGCTCGCTCCCTCACTATCCATCCTTCATTCAAACAGTCTTATACTGCTATTCGGTGGTCAAAAAAGGTACTACACGCAAAACAAATTAACCAACATTTCTTCTTAAATTTGACAATAATTACAAATTACTGTCAAATTTCAAACAATATTATCGTTTATCGCAATAATTTCTGAGACAATCGCCCAGCAAAATTTGTTATCGTGACAGGCCTATATTTAACCGTATTTTATTTTTTTTAAATAAAATACACTGGTTTCTTAAACATTTTAAAACCAAACAGCTCTTTGAAAAATACTGCAGCATACTGGCTCCGTTTGTGTCTTCATATCATTCGCATCATTTTAGTCTCTTTATGATTCTATTTGTCTCAGTGCTTGTCTTTGTATTCTCCCTATGCGTCCTTCTTTTCATCTCATAACTAAGACTTTAATTTACACTTTTTACATTGTTTCTCATTATCACTTAAATGTATGCTTTTGTGATTATTAAATTGTCAGTAACGTGCTTCCATACACCTGGCTGTCAGGTCAGTGTAATTACCATTAAGATGCTGAGGTCAATCAATATGTTGTTAAACTCATTTTTTTTTTTTTACTTTCTTCTCAGCACCGGACTTGCATTAATTTTTTTCTTACCTAAAGGGTGTTTGTGGGCTGCTATGAAAGATATTTGTTTGTGAACTGATTCAATATGCTAATGAGTTAATAACTTGGTCTGTCAATCTGCCTTTCTGCCAGAAGCTCTCGTGGTAATGAAGGTTTTCACGACACGAGTTCTGTTGTTTCTGTAAAGTCTGTAAGCAGCTCCTTAGTCAGGCGTAGATGTTTTTAAGACGGCTGCTAATCACACTTTGGAGTCCAACACTTTATTTTTCTTAAAATAATTTCTCTTGGTTTTGACTTCCACTCCATCAGAGAGATCAGTGACTTGATGAAGATTGGTTCACGTTCAAATTGAGCAAGTTGTTTGTCCTTTTAATGTAACTGCTGGTTTATACTGAAAAGCACTTTCATGGCAGGTTAAGCCTCTGTTGTAAGATTATTATTTTTTGTTTGTGGCTTTAGTGAGCAGTTAAATGAGCTTGATACAAACCTGGTGTGTGCGTGTGTGCACGTGCATGCATGCGAGAGAGCGAAATGAAGACGATTAGTACCGTGGAGGCTTGACGTCCACTCATGGACCATTTCAGTCATTCACAGTAGATTGCGTTTCTGCAATTTCAGCTTGTTCCTCCTCAGTGAAGTGGAGTGCAATAACAATCTCTTCATCTTTTTAAAGAAAATTGCAGGAATTCATGTAAAAAAGACAGTTTTCATGAATATTTTGGAGTGTGCAAAAAAAAATCTGCTGAATAGACTTAACACTAAGTTCTCTCCTCTGGGCCAGGTATGCATATGCATGAATGCTGAAGGTGTGTGAGAAGGATGTTTTACCCTCGCTGCAGTGAAAAAGGGTAAACTGAATCATTTCTCTTTGGAGCGACTCACGACTAAACATTGGATCGTTTTATTCCAGAGTGAAATACTTGGAAACGAATCGGGGTGAAGTTCATTTTAACCACAGAGGCAGCAGGAAATAGTCTGCAAATTACAGGGAACAGGACTTTAAATTTCTTCACCAAAGGTACAGATACATGCAAAGGCAAAAAGAACTAAAAATACACATGAAGTGAATAAATCATGTTTGTCTGGAAAATGTAAGAAGATAAATGTGATTCGGTTTCCACTCAAGATGTCTGATTATAGGTTTATGGATTATTTGGGGTCATTATGTTTTATTTAAAAGAAACAAAACTAACTTTTCTTATTGCTCTCCTTTCATGATGGCAAGGAATAGTGCCTGTGTGTGTGGGCACGATTTTATTGAAACCCTCAAAGTCATCACTGGATGTCAAACTGTGCCAACCTGAGCCAAGATGGCCGCCCCTGCTGATGGATTCTACCAAACACACAAATGACTAGAACTCAGTTTTACCAATCATTAAGCTAAACGTTTGTGTGGTAGTAGCTGAAGGTCATACCCGACACAATCTGAGCACTGAAGATTCAAGAGCTTCACATTATTTGTTTTGGTCAACCTTGTCTGTCAGCAAATATCTAAAAAAAAAAAAAAACACTGACTGAATTTAAATTAAATCTACAGCTGATTACCTTTTTGGTGTAAGCTTTATTTAAAATGGCCGCCTCAGCTTATCACGTTAAGTTAGGGCTGGACGATACGGCCAAAACTTTTATCACGGTATCTTTCTTAATTTCAGTCGATAACGATATAATTCAGATATCGATATAAACAATATAAAAGCCTCAGAAAAACTGTACAAATAAATGAACGTTCACCTTTTATTTGTATCTAGCCTTCAAAAAAATTTGAAATCACGTCAAACGTAAAACTCAACTTTGTCAATAAACAACAACATAATCTAACGTTTGCTGCATGGGTTTCTCTTGATACAGCTGGGGGTGTTGTTTCAGGGACACGGGCTCAAACTGTTATTGTGCTTCATCTTCTGACTCTCAGTATTTTCTATAGAGTGGAAAATCTTCAGATGAAACAAGTTACATGTTCCCACCGCTAGCAGGAACGACTCTCCGTCACATTTTGCAGCATTGAAACCTGCAGTTGCTCAGATGTTAGATAGCCGAACCACTTCCACACCGTCGAATTACTCTTTCCTCTCTTATCAATTATGTCATCTGCTTTCTCTTCACTCGTGAACGCTTGTTCAGTCACATTCTGAGGGTCATGGGCACTCATTTTGAAGCATGCCTTGGAGATTAGCCTAGCCTGCTACCGCTAACGCCTTCTGAACTCGAGCTTTGCGTAACATCTATGTCACCACGTACTTATGTAGTTGTGTCGCGGCTTTTGAAACTGAAGCAACCGCTTCAACCCGAACAGAAAAAGAAATGTCAGTGAAACGCTGTAATCATATCGAAATATCAAATATGTGCTTACAACTCATTATCGCCGTTATTGATTAAAAGTATATTGCGACATATATTGAATTATTTTCAAGCCTACCTTAAGCTAATGCAAATAAGATGAAAATTTAGTCAGTTTTATAAAAATTGCGCTACAATTTGCTTTGACAAGTTTTAATAATATGTTTTGAAGCTAGTTTCATTATTTTTCAATGGCAGTAAAAATGTCTTTGGATAAATCTGAGTAGACTCGATAAGGAGTGAATTCAGCCTTTTTTATTGCAAAGTTTCTTATTGTCTCTGGTAACGCATCATAAGTAAAACCCAAACTCCTGGCCGTTGGTCTGACCACAATTAACTGCCCCACCCTACGACCCACTTTCGTCTGCCCTGAAGTACAGAAGGAGGTGCCGGCCCAGTCTATTAGCTCAGGAATGGCAGTGGAATTGAATTAGCCCAAGGTGGCTTTAAGCATGTGGGCTCGTGTGAACCTGTTAGCACGACGCGACTGCATCATCTTTCACAATCAGCTGCCTGTGTGATGTACCGGGAAAATGAGGCTGCTGCGGCTCCGCAGATGGAGTGGCACCTCGCTGCTGGGAGGGGGTTTAGGCTTTGTTCGTTTGTCCTCTCTCATTGTGTATGATTGTTGGCTGGAGGCTAACGATGGACAGAAAGGAAAAGATTACATTTTTTTTAAAAAATCTGACCTGTCAAGTAAAAAAAAAAAAACACGGTCGCCAACAATCCTGCAATTGGCAGCCAAGTGGCCTTTCCATATGCATGAATGGGGGTCAAACCCCACCCCCAAAATGACTAGAAAACTAGTTGACTTTTATGACAAATGAGTTGTAGCTGATTTGATCAACTCGAAAGTAAAAGCCAATCTCACACTCCGTGCTATGAAGGACTTTCGGCTTGTTTTTGTATTGGCTAATAGTGACTAGCTGTGGTGAGCAACTTGAATCAAGTTCACTTCATCATTTGTAGATGTACATCAAATAGAAATCCTCTGAAAGCTTGACTAAAATTTGTCCAGTAGTTTGAGATATTTTGCTAACGGGGTTTAATCCAACAGCTCCATGCCAAAGTTTTAAGCACAGATCTGACTTTGTGTTTTAGATTTTATGACCAATATGCTCATTGTTTTGTCAAATCCAGAATTGAATTCAAAATCTTACTTCTAACCTACAAAGTTCTCAACAACCTAGCTCCATCTTATATTTGAAATCTTACTGTTCTATATTTTCCCAACAAGAGCACTTCACTGTCAGACTG